ACTAAGAAAATGCTTATCTCCCTGAGCCTGGCCTTCATAATTCCATTCCATCACAGTTTCTGAAATACCTTATTCTTATTCTAACTGCTTTTGGCTTACCAGAAGCATGTTCATTTGTTCCTGAATAAACTAAAGAAATGCATTATGTAGAATACAGAATGTATCTTAGGATATTCTTTATGGAAGAAAATAATTGTTAACCAACCTACAACAATTCATATGACCCTTCTGATCATCATCTTATGGTGCTACATTAGTCAATGACTGCTCTCATATCTTCAGAGGTCTGAGACTTTTCAGCACTACCTACGTTTGAACAGCATCAAGGCCTGCCATTTTCATCTTCAGGAGACGGTCCTTCCAGTAGAAACGGGGAATCCGGGAATAATGGATGCTGCCTGAGATGTAGCGGAATGGTTTCCCATCCTTGAGGAAGCAGTTGCGAGCATAATCAATCTCAAAGCTTCTCTGGGATGTAATCTATGAAAATAAATTATTTAGACAAGAACTTTAACTTGCCAACAATGGAGGGCTTTATTAAGTTATAGACATTATCTTTGCTTACAGATGAATACATCCAGTACCCCTACCTCATAACTGATTTGCACTCTTCTTGTCTATGACTTAATTACAAAACATTGTTATAGTATTTTAGCAATACATAATTTAACAATCATGTGTGCAAAAATCACGTATATATTTGAGATATATACTGAGATATATTTGAGAATATATACTGTGACAATTTTAACCTGTACATAATATTCAGTATAATCCACTCAGCCCTAGGATGTTTGAGGGCTCATGAACTCTACTGCAGCAGGCACCAGTTTTGACAATATTACAATTTTGGAGAAATCTATTCTAAAAACTACCACCAGTAATATAACTCAACATCTGTGCAAAAATTATATTGTGATATTTTGGCTTCCTTTTGCCTAAAAGAACAATGTGTGGTAAACTGCTAGTGTTTGCACGACACAACAGTAGGTGACATAAATGGCAAATTAATAATTTGCCAATAAAACTGGTACATACAGTTCCAGGCTTCCTTATCTTGCAGCGCACATTTCTCATCGGGCCCAATGTAGCTCCACAGCTGTCTTCAAATTCCTCTATACAAAGGGGGCACATTTTATCCCTGCAGCTTGCAAGGCTTTTCTTACTAAGGTCATCTCTCAGTTTCTTTATGGTGTCCCAATTCACATTTTTACAAAGTTTAATATTCTGGAAGCTGTCCAGCCCACATTTATTAGAGCAATCCTTGCAGTTCCAAGATGCATCAAGAATGCTGTTTTATGGTTAGAAACAGGTTTAGTTTCTGTGGGTGCAGGAGCCTGATTCTATCTCCTTAATTTCTAGTTGAAATTGATGTTTTCTCCTGTGGGTCTGGCTCCACTGGTTCTCAGAGATGGTTGTAAATCAACCTGACTGACAAAAACTAATAGCAAACTCCAGTCCTTAGGACTTTCTTTGGAAAGCCTCTGTCCATTACGGCTTGAAAATGCCAGGAGTCATCTTAAACATCTCTGGGATATTGATTTTCAAATCAGTTTAAGCCTAGCATCCAACTCTACAATTTATGGATTCTTCTCAAATGGGCATGGGCCATCATATTCTCTCTCTTCAATTCTAATTCTGAAATTTCATTGGGCTTTCACCTTGGCCAGTTGGATGCACTCCCCTCTGCAGTTCTGGGGCAGTATAAAAACATCCCTTTTCAGCAGTGCTTATGTCCACATGGAGATGGCTCTGTGTGGAATCCCTAAACCACATGCTCCTTTGTGGCTCTCTCGACAGGGAATTAAGGAAGATATATATTTATCCCATTTTAAAGAACTACCCCAGTAGAGAGCACAATGTCTCTCTGTCACTGCTTCTATCTGACCAGGACCCTAACATATCTTTCCAGGTTGCCTGATTTTCTGCTATCGTTTGTTGTATCCGTTCTACCTACGGTTGAAGTTTAGCACAAATTTTGGTGACTGCCACTGCTATTTGTACTACAGTTACTATAATAATGTATTTTATGTAGTTTTATTGCATTTTTTAAAGTTTTATAATAATTACAGGTCTACGTATTTTATTGTTGTGCTTTCTGGCCCAAAGGCTGTAATAAAGGTTTGATTTGATATTGCAACTTCTACTATCTTTTTTAATCTTCCAAATTATTTGCTTTACCATTTTTATTAAAACAAAGTATTACATAAGAATTTCATTAAATGATCTGAATTTATGCATTTTTATTCTTGAAAACCCTTCACATTACTTTAATTCACATTTGTAACAAAAGACATGGAAATTAAGTGTCGTTCTGTACATACTTACATAAAAGTACTCTAGCTGAAATCAATGGGATTAACTTCTCAATTGACATTTTTAGGATTAGACTGTAAGTATTCAATCTGCCTTATTTAAATTGTAATATTTTATTTTTTGAAAAGTGGGGATGTTTCCTAAAATAAATCAGTACAACAGTAAAATTTGCCAATTTTAAACTAATTCCACCCCCCCAAAGGAAACAAAATAAGAAATATTTCTTATGCCTCTTGCATTAATTATCAATTAATACGTACTATGTTTAAAAGCAGATCCAACAACAATACCAAGAAAATTATAAGCCACTGATAGAATACTTAATGTTTAAAATTGATATACAAGAAAGTATAATTTTCTTTATATTTTGTAAAAATGTTGTTATTTTTGGTACCTGTGATATCACACAAAATCATATACTGTGACATCTGGCTGAAAAATTGTTGGTCCCCTTCCTAAATACTACACACTGGTTCTCTGTAGAGGCCTTCCTACTTTTTCCCACCCAAAAAAGGCACCCCTAAGATATACATGACCACAAGGAGATGGGCAAGCTTAACTAACGCTTTCCATTTCTCTCCATGGACACTGAGCTTCTGACCACCACTTTTGGAATACAAATCAGGGGGTCTTATGGTATTACAAGAACTTATAAGTGTGTCATAATCACAGGATTATATACATGTACCATTCATCTGAAATCATGGATGAAAGGGATTGTGATCCACAAAGGTCTAGGCCGTAATACAGTTTTTAAATTTTACATGACTGCAAGACCCTTTGTTGAATGTGGCAGAAGCCCTTCCTAACAGAAGGCTTCAATTAACATTAGAGTAGTGCAATAGGGCTTCTTTCCCAGCATCTCATTCACAAATTAAATTACATAATAATCTAAACATCTTCCACTCTGCCCTCCATCTCACTGTGGAGACACACACACACCCACGCTCCCCTTCTCCCTTATAATCTTATTTCAGCAAGTTTTGGAGAATTACTATATACAGCATATCTATCCCTTTTTCCTGCTGGGTGATCCCCTTCTTGTTTCTACAATATTTCAAGAGATAAACACACATTCATGCATTCATTCTCCTCTAAATCCTCTGTAATAAAACTTGGAATGCGTTCAGCTGTAACTCTAGAACAAACTGCCTCTAAGTTCCTTATCAATTTTCAACCTGTAATTACTAGGCAGTATATATTACTTACAGCAAGGGGTAGAGAACATGTGATTTTTTAGAAGTTGTTAAGCTGAACCCCAAGTATTCCTCGCTCTTCATTATGTTGGCTGCAACTGCGAGTAGTAAGTCAGTAGCACCTAATGAGTTCAACAACTTTTCAACCAACAAGAATGTACATTACCAGGGGCAGGGTTGAGGGCTACAGTGAGAAAGGGAAAGTGATGATGCTGTGACATCGTGAACCTAGGCAGGGATGAGATTTTTAAAATGAGGTTTTAAGGTAAGCCTAAAGGAAAGTTACATAGTTATATACTATTTAAATTCCACCCCAAACCCAGCAGGAAATAGCACCTCTAGTCTGCTGCTGAATTTACTGAGTCTGGAAGCCACAAAAAGGGTTTGAGGTATGTGCCGCCCATAGGCTGAGGACTGCCTACCCCGTCATCTCACAGTGCAGCGAACAAACTGGACTGGTTCAAGGCATTTAGCTTCTGAAAAGTAAACATGTCCTTTCCCTTCAAATAAAATTTCAAAATATTTAGAGCTGCTGAAATCATTCTGGCATTTGTGAAAGAAAATGTACGTGTGTGTACTTGTTTTCTTTTATATTTTCCTTTCTCTGTATTAAAGCAATACAAATAAGCATTTAAAAATGCAGTAAAATATAAAGAGCAAATGCTTTTTAAAAAAGAAAAGAAAATCCTACAAATGTTTCATTAAGACTAAAAAGGCAGTAATAAATTATTTAACTAAATTCAATATTATTGTATTTTACTGTGCATCATTAAAGATTTGACTATATGGGAGGCATATAGAAATATATTTTAATAATAATAGTAATAATTCTAATATTCCTTTCCATAAGAAGCCCAAAATTATGTATATTTTCCCTCCGTTCCCCGCCCCCACCCCCAATATCTTTTATCCTCAGAAGAACCTGTGAAATGGATTATGTTCTTACAATCCTCTTGGCAAAAGACTCAATTGTTACCACAGAAGGAAAAATCAGATAATATCTTCAGACATACACTAATGTAGTCCAACATATATGATTCAATCTAACAAAACATGGCACGTCCCTTGAGGCTTGGAGACGCCTAATCCTCTAATAAGCATTCTGGTCTTTGGAGAAATTTGAGATCAGGTGTAATTTATTAGTGGTTGTTTTAATGCTGGAGTTCTATTGAGCAAGAGACAGAGGACAAACCAAGATGAGCAAATATTAAGATGTGAATCTGTATTTTTCATGGCTTATATTAACATAGTTTTAGATTCAGGAGACTGGTCAAGTTAATTATACAGGGATCCTTATTCTTGTAAATCTGAACTTGATACTTGTCAGTTGGACTAACAAAATGGCAATGCCTCTTAAGATTGTTGACAAATGTGATCCTGTTTCAAAGACAGCAGGCTAACTGTTGGTGGATAGAAATGTTTCATCCTTTCCCACCTCCAAAAATCACAGTAAGAGGATGATTATAATATGTATACTTGGTGAATCTTAAGGCAATGGAAGCCCCCCAGAAATACGATGAGCAACATGAAACACTGTAAACTCCTCATCTTATGCCTCCACATATATATACCTTGTATCACAGAAATACTGTCAATTTCTAATGAACGTGTTTCAGGGAAAGTGAATGTTGGGTAAGGGTTAGAATTCCTAAAATATCTCACCCCTTGGAAATGGGATACTGTAGAAGATTTCATGACTTGAGTGATCTTAATCCCATGGCAGATTTTTCTTATCTTCCACATATTTAGAGCATCAGTATGTTAGAAAAACTTAATATATTGTATGGGATCTATCAGTCTGTCCAGTGACTGTGACCAACAATTGTAACTCGTGAACTCAGCTTCTTTCTCCAGCTCATCTCTGTATACTTATTAAGGCATCTCAGTAAATTTTAAGCCACTTTATCATAGAACGTTGAAAGATACATATTTGGTCTCTTTCATGAATGACTGAAGTTGTGGAAGTAAGCAATTTCCATGCAATCACTACTGACAAGAATTACTCATGCTTGCAACTGAAACCTTATTCAAGTTTTCATTTGTAGTGTATGCTTCTTTTCCACAAAAGAGATTGTATTCAAAGTGGCTCATAGCACAGAAATAACAGAGTACGGCTTGCGGTCCCAATGTAAATGAATATAGTTCAGCAACCACTTAAGCACATAAGTAATAACCTCAAGAATAATCCATACAAAAAAGAAGATAACAAATCAAACTCAACTTATAACAGAGAATGAAAAGGCCAGCATGCAAAGATATCAGTGGTGAGATCAATAATAAGTATTTTCAAAAATCTGAATGACTGGTTTGGCAACCCCCCTCTCAAATTATCCACTAGTTGTAACATGGGAGAAACTACACTCAACCAGAGTCATTTGCTGAATTTAAATTCTACTTTCTAATGCTAACTTAACTATAACTCGTAACCCAGCTTCTCTGCTAGTAACTAACAATTGCTATCCTAACTTCCTCCCATAGAGTTCTTTTCAACAACTTTTTAAAGGATCCTAGATTCCTAGATGAAGCATAGTCAAGCCCTGGATAATCCTCCCACTTCCCCATATCCCATGCAAGTTCAATTTGCATCTCAGCCACATTGCATTCGGGGTACAATCTTTTTTTCCTCAGTCTCAGTGCCTTCCTTCAATATGCAATATAAATATAATCTGAGTTATCAGAAAGATTGTCATAAATATTACTAAGTATGGAGTTGATGTTAGGGCTGGCAGGATCTATTTTGTTTTTCCAGAACTTACATATCCACCAAATGGAGACACATGGATGTATAAGTAGAATCGAACAATCATATGCTCTGAAATTAGAGTATCAGGAGCTCATTCCTTCACATGGAACTAAAATAAATGAGAGGTGATAGAGGAAGAAATCCTTGCTAATCCATGCCAATAGCCCAGATAATTTGTTAATATGAATTGTATATGAAATAACTAGAATACATAAAATGAAGTTATTACAGCTAGGAGTTACTTCTGACAACCTTGATTTAGGCTATGCCCCTTATCCACCCCAAAAAAAGATTAATGAAATTAATGGATTCCAGTTGGTTGCAGTAACTTTGGAACCTAACTATGCAAACAAATGCATTCAACACTGTAGATACTTGAAAGGCAATGAGGTGGCTCTAAATACATGAATGTCCGGTTGCCTGTAGCCTCTGGTTAAGCAGTAAGGTGGCTGATAACATTTCTTCCACTTTCCCAGACACCCAAGTAATTAAAGGAGTATGGGAAGAGCACCTAAATGACTAGATGTGACTACAGATAAAAACTAGCTATGATATAAATCTGTTTAAAATGCATGTTATTTATTTCTTACGAACACTTAAATTGGTTCCCATGGATGTACACGGAAAGAGGATAATAAAAACATGACAGTGCTTTTAATTGTTGTATGTGAAACAGTATTTGGAAGGATCAAAATGTCTAAGCATTTCTGTGTTCATCCCCAAAATTTTATCTAACAACCACATGACTATTGCCATAAAAAGAAGTTTTATCCTTAATTTTCAACCACAAGATACAATTCTGTATTACAAAAGCAAAGAACATTTATTCTCCCTACTCCCCTTATCATTAACAGAAAGGAACTAGGAAACAATTTAAAATGTTAACTTAAACTCACCCAAAATAATTTCCAAGTGGAAACTAGATTATTTAATATAAAATACATCAAATATATTAACACTGCCCAAGAGTATGATAGTTTGCAGATTTATTCAAAAGTAAATTCTAAATAAAATGTTCAGGATTTTACTTTGGTCATATTTGCTTTAGCATAAACTTTTTTTTAAATCATGCAAACAGAAGAAAAGGAAACTAGCCACACAATATTATTGTCAAATATTTAAGGAATAGGCTGAAAGATCTTACTTCTAGGCTGGGGAAGCTAATGGGATTGTTAATCATAAAATGAGCTGAATGACTTGAGTGAACAACTTTTGCTTAACCGCTGAAAGCTATTTTTCATCCCCTAATTTGAACTTTAAAAATCTAATTAAACCTTTATAGTTTTAATGAGCATGGTTCTTATTGTACAAATAGAATGCATTTATATTATATTATATTATATTATATTAATGTATTATACATTATCTCTCTTGTAGACCTATCCAGAAGGTTCCAGAGAATCAAGATGTTACAAAGTATATTTGAGTTTCTACCAAATCTCATGCCCAAGAAAAAACAGAAGTAGTCTAGAAGTCAGTTTACTGATATGACCCCTTGCAGGAGCCCTTACGTTTGAGAAAAAAGATACAGAATACATAGAACATTTCATAGACACAATGCCATCACACTTTCAAAGGATGGATATTAATAAGCTTCACCAACTAGATATCTCTACCCTGGAAATATCAATATTTTACGTTAGTGTTTTAAAACTTGCATCCCCAAATAATAGCACATTAAACTAATGAAATTTCATCACAGATCTCCAGCAATTCTGAACATGTTACAGACAGGAATTTGGTTAAATATTTTTTTCTTCTTTTAAAAATATTATGATTTTCATAACTTGTCCAGCCGCATTCCAGAAATATCAGTAGGAAAGTATAACAATTAAAATAATGTGACCAGATGATCCCCTCAGTATGAGAAATAAGTTGTCATACTGATAAAGGAGAACGAAGGATGATTTCTGTTATTTCTGCTCTACTTCCCAGTCTCATGGGTATTCCATAGAACATTGTCCCCGGGCTGACATACACAAAAGTGTTCTGTCCAACTTTATACAAACCAACAAAGAATGGATTCATGAAATAAGCACCAATATTCAGAGGAAATATCTGCCCTCCATGTGTGTGCCCAGACAAGACCAAACTTATATCCGACTGAGCCTGAACAGCCCTTTTTGCAGCAAGCGGCTGATGGGCAAGAAGAACAATGGCATGGTCAGTACTACAGTCTTCTAATGCCTTTTTCAAATCCATGCCATGCCCAGTGTAATGTAACACATTAGCTTCGATATCATCAACCCCAGCCAGACAAAACCAGTCAGTATCCTTGTCTTTGTAGGACATGATCTTCACATGTTCATTGTGAAGGGGGTGAACGTTGAGTGACTTCAAACATTCAAACCAGTTGTTGACATCAGAGATATAGTATTCATGATTTCCTGTGACAAAATAAGTCCCCAGTGGGGAATCAAGTTGGCCAAGCGGTTCCATAGCATGGCCAAGGTCTTTCACCTCAGAATCAGTCAGGTCACCAACAATCACAGTAATATTTGGCTTTAAACTGTTAACTATTTTTACAATCATTTGGAGTTTAGTTTTTCCAACAGTTGGTCCCAAATGAATATCAGAAAGCAAAACTACCTTCAGGTTATTCATAGACAATGGTAATTTATGAACAGGAATTGCTACTGATTTTACTGCAGGAGGCTGGGAAGCATTGAGGAGCCCAATAACAGTCAATCCAATAGTCACAGTAACTGCTAGAGCTGGCTTCCTTGCCAATTTACCAATTTTACTGGTACTACCCACTTTTGCATTTCTCTGAGTCATGAGAATATACAGCTGCTCCAGAGAACCAAAAGTGAAGAGGAAGAAAATAAGAATGATGTAGCTTCCAAGACAGGTGAATGCTGCTAAAGAAAAGAAATAAGGCTCTTCTGCGACAAGAAACAATAGTGTGAAAAAACTTGAGTGTGCCAAAATCAGGAACGTTAATAATATTATTTTCCATAAGATGAAGCAGAATGAGTTGGCAGCTGGTGGTTTGTAGAACACAGTAACTGTACTTCTCCATATGTGACAGGATCCTATGATCATCAAGGCATTAATAAAGAATATCATCTGCAACTTCAGCAGCCATCTCAATCTCGTCACTTCAATATTTTCAGCCAGATACATTCGTGATACTATCATGGAGAAGAAGACAGTTCCAGCAGCAACTGCAACCTTTGCTTCAAATGGAAGCTGCTTGAAGATCATCTCTACTCCTGAATACTTTCAGATTCTTCTTTGCTGATTTACAAGAATTTCCCAGGAAATATTAATAAGTAGCTCTGTAGGGATTTCTTGGTTAATTTGGCCTGAATCCACGAACTACCATCAGCTTTGGACTAAAAAATAAAAAAATAAAAGAAATAGAGTCCCCTTCCAAATACTGAAAGAAGACAAAGGCAATTAATGATAATGTCTTAGAATGCTTAAGGAGCATAAGTCTAATTCTAAGAATTACAATTTTTTTCCCCTCAAAACCAACCTTACTTCCTAAATCAGGTGCGTAATCAGAAGCCACAACCAACAAAAGTAATTTGAGAGAATATTGCATGTATGAATGCTAAACAGAGCTAACATTTTATATGCTACATTTCTGCTCATAGCTTTCAGAAGAAAATGCCTTGTTTCAGAGCTTGTCATTGGAAATCAGTGTATATTATACAATGCAGCCTTCCCCACTGGATCCATAGACTTCAATTTCCAGAATTTTTAACCAGCACAGCCATTGCTGAGATTTCTGGGAATTTAAGTCCATTCATCCTGATCTCCCTGTAGTTGGGATCAGCTGAGGTAATCTAATAGCTGCCTATGAAGACAGAACTTCTACACCAGTATAGCTCCATTAGGTAACTTATTACAAATGACTGGCCTTATTCTAATCCCAATTATCTACATTTCAGTATCTGCCTACACAATAGTATCATATTAATGATTATGGATATGTTTGTGAAGAGCTTTGAAAACTGGAATACGCAAAAGGTTCCATCGCAGAATGTTATGACCCCCCCCCCAAATAGACCATTTGGACCTTGGAATGGGCAATTCTGAGTGTCCAGGCACTTCCAGAACACTGAGATTGGTCTGCTTCATGACTGGATTATTTTAAATCTGGATATGCATGGTCATATTCTTTTTTTCATAGATACAATCTCACTAGGGAGACTATCTCTGAATGAATCTCCATTCATCAGAGTCATGTAGCTCAGATGCTTTTGCCCTAAGAGGATTCAATTCCAGAGAGTGTCTGTCTCTGCTGGTTAGAATAATTTATGCTGTCAGTTGCATTGCTTGTACCAGCATTCCCAAATCTTGGGTCTTCCAAATAAATTGGATTCGTACTCCCAGTCAGTACAACACCAGAACTGAGATGGCTGGCTTACACTGCCCCATAAGCTGTAGCAAGCACATTTCAGAGCGTAAAATTCTAGGCAATTCTTCTTTCCAGAGTGCTTAGATTGCCCCATCTAATAGTAGGGCGATATGCTCTTGCACAACTGGGTGAAAGGACGAAAGGAAATGGGTGACTAGAGCCAGGAAAAGCCAATTCCTGTTCTCCAGAAATGACTATGTTTCCTTTTCTATTCAACGGCAGGGCCAACAGTCACTAACTCAGGGTTCCTCAACCTTGGCAACTTTAAGACGGGCGGCGCTCTCTTTTCCTAATACAACACACCCCCCCCTCCTCCGCTGGCATGTTTCGTGGTGTGGTTGGACGGCCTCTATTAACAGCGGAAGGGAGACGATC